ACGTGTATTTCACGCCATTTAACCAAACATTATTAAAGGGAGAAATTGATTCATCGAGACGTGCCGTATCTGTATAACATAAATATAAGTACGCAAATTATGTATTGGAGATGATCCAGCATCAGAGCGAAATGACCCACTTTTCGCCATAAAACTTAATCGTGGAGGGTCATGCAGCGGGATGCTGAATTGAATGACCTAATAATTGTGTTATTTACTTTATCAATACGGTACTTTATTATGCATTTCCACAACATTCGCAGTCACTCATGATTTCTAGACAATCTGTTTCCCTTTGAATAGGCAATTTTACAGTTGTGCACTTAGTTACCAAGCCTTTGATTTGGAGTGAGGCTGAAGGTGACCTTGTTAACGTTGTGATAGAGATCAGTATCTAGTTAGCATGATAACAAAGTAATTTGCATTTGACAAAGCAGCAAGGTTTGTATTATAACAAGGTCAACCTTAGCCTCACTCATGTTCAAAATGGACAAATGAACCCGTATCCTTGTTCCAGCAAGCAGATACCCTGTATCAAGAAGGAACTGGGAACTGACAACTCTTAACAAGGTTAATAAGATATCTTAAAAAAACCCAACCGATAGAAAAATAACGACGTCTTTTGACATCATTTTCAGCGTGATAAGAAAGTCGGTTTACGATGGCAAAGTTATTGACCAGTGGCACAAGGTAGAATAAAAAGTGTAAAGTCAACTTTGTTTTTTTTTCTATGTTGGCGAATTAACCATGAAACTACTGAAGGCAGTAAAGCCCTTATTTAAAGGTGGAAATTTCATTAAAAAAAAAACGTAACACACTTAACCTTCTGAATATCGGAGTTTTTACATTACAATGCAGCGGAAATACTAAAGGAATGGTTCATTACACAAACAAATGCAAACTATATTGACGAGGTCAGGTCTTTTTAAACGAACTTTTTCCTCGCACAGTTCACAGCTGCCTCTGGCTATTTTAAAACCCTATCACTTATGACAGCAGTCAATTTACTGCCGACTTTTTCGGGCTCCTCCTCCTCCTAAATCACGCCTGAGCGTGAAATTTAGAGTACTCTGCCACTTCGTTAGTGAACAAAAATCGATTTCCAGGAGTTAGGGGTATGTAGGGAACAAATTAAACCTGTATCATGTGGTCGCCCTGTTTTTAGCGGTCGGTTTTCAAAATACCGAAATTTCCAGACGGCCTATATTTAGAGTTTATCTCTATTACGGCCTGCTTGTATTATCCTCCACTTGTACCGAATGATCAATCAAGGCAGAACCACTGAAATAGTTCTAAGAATAATCTTTGATGGAAAATTAATCCATGTTTATCTCCCGAAATCGAAGTTACTAGAATTTTTCAGCTAGTTTTGGGGCATCGGTGGTAAATTACGGCATACAATTGTGTTTTTTTTTTTTAAATCGTTGTTTATAATACCCCTATTTTTCCTGTTTTAAGTGGTCAACCTGTAGTGGGCCATTCCCCGTAAAAATGAAAGTACTCTTTGGGGTTCACCCCTTTGTTCTATCTTGACACTGCTGATATTACTCACAGACGTAAGATGTCAAGTTACTTACATTCGTTAGTAACATATTTTTAAAACGTAGACATGGATATCCAGAAGTTTTCGCTGTTCATACTTTTGTTTGTCGCTTATGTAGAAGAAACTTACGGCTCTGAAGGTAAGTAAGGCAGATTGCTTTAAGTTACACCTTTGTACTCTTTGAAATAATTCATGTGTGCGGTTGACGTCGGATGAAGAGGGTGAAACTTAATAGGTGTAACCGTTTGTAAAAAAATATATCTCAGTGTGTATTTTCAAGTCAAACAAACCTTGCGATCAAACAATCATGTCGTGCCGGGGGTTTACTAAATAAACAACGAGATTTGCATTCTTCGAAATTGTTTCAGAAGAACCGATACATTTCAGAGAGCTTAAGTTCTACATGGACTCAAGGGAACCAATTTCTGAATAACTACGTTCATCAACATACTTGGGAAATCACTGAAATGGCCCTCAGTAATACTAAGATCTCCATTTTGTATCCTTCGTATTTACGCCAACCAGCTATTTCCATCTCCCATTATTTTGGCATTTCACTATAGAAATGCTTTAAAGCCTTTTATTTTGAAATCAGCAAATTTCATCTGGCACAAAGGGTATTAAAAGATTCTTTATTTATTCGAGTGTATGGCATTGTTCAAATACAAGATAATTTGTACTCTCTTGTGGAATATAATTGCACCTTGTCAACTTGGCTGGGCTTTTTGCAGAAGATAAATACGATTGTGATGAACTGATTTCGTGACAGGGGTTTTCCCTCATTTGTTCCGTACATGATAACAAAGTAATTTGCATTTGAAAAGCAGCAAGGTTGGTATCATAACAAGCTCAAACTTAGCTTCACTCCTGTTCAAAATGGACAATTCAACCCATATTTTGTTCCAGAAAGCAGATACCCTGCATCAAGAAAAAAACTGGGAACTGACAACTCAACACGTTTGATACGATATTTTCCAAACCTTAACCAATAGAAAAATAAAGACGTCTTTTGACATAATTTTCAGCGTGATAGGAAAATCGGTTTGCGATGGCAAAGTTACTGACCTATGGCACAAGGTAGAATAAAAAGCGTAAAGTCAACTTTTTTCGACAACGTGATAGTTTTGTTGGCGAAGTAACTATAAACCTACTGGAGGAAGTTAAGCCCGAATTTGAATGTGGGCATTTTATTAAAAAATCTAACACACTTAATCTTCTGAAAATCGGAGTTTTTACATTACAATAAAGCGGGAATACTAGAGAAATGGTTCGTTACGCAAACAAAGGCAAACTCTATTTACGAGGTCAAGTCTTTTTAAACGAACATTCTCCTCGCACAGTTCACAGCTGCCTCTGGCTATTTTAAAACCCTATCACGTATGATAGCAATCAATTTACTGCCGACTTTTTCGCCGTCCTCCTCCGAAATCACGCCTGAGCGTGAAATTTAGAGTACTCTGCCACTTCGTTATTGAACAAAAATCGATTTCCAGGACCCAGGGGGTATGTAGGGAACAAATTAAGCCTGTATTAAGCGGCACTGCATCATGTGGTCGCTCTGCTTTTAGCGAGCGGTTTTCAAAATACCGAAATTCCCACATGACCTATATTCAGCGTTCCTCTCTATTAAGCAGACGTGATCGATCATCCTCTACTGAGTCACAACGGCCTGCTTGTATTATCCTCCACTTGTATATATTGAACGATCATTTCTAGCAGAACCACTGAAATAGTTCTAAGAATAATCTTTGATGCAAAATTTAATCCTTGTTTATATCCCGAACTCGAAGTTAGTAGAAATTTTCAGCTAGTTTTGGGACATTAAGTGGTAAATTATGGCATATAATTGAGTTTTTTTCTCGTTGCTAGTTTTGGGACATTAAGTGGTAAATTAATGAAATTAAATTATGGTAAATTATGGCATATAATTGAGTTTTTTTCCTCTATTACACGGTCAACCTGGTCAACGTGGTCATTCCACGTGGAAATGAAGGTACTCTTGGGTTCAACCCTTTGTTTTATCTTGACCTTGCTGATATTGCTAGCAGTCACGTCTCTAATGTAGAGGTGAAAGTGAAAGTTAAAGTGGAAGCGGGTTTTTTTTCCTTCCGTCATAATAAAGGACACGAGATAGAAATCTCGTGATAACAACAAACCATAATCTTCATTCGACTGTAGCTTATTTTGAGACATAGACATGGATATCCTGAAGTTTTCGCTGTGTATCTTTTTGTTTGTCACTCATCTAGGAGAAACTTACGGTTCTGAAGGTCAGTAACGCAAATTGCTATTAGTTACACCTTTGTAATACAATGGGAATTTTCAAGTCAAACAAATAGTAACTGATTTTGCGGAAGTAAATTGCATAAACAACGGGATTTACATTCCTCGAAATTGTTTCAGAAGAACCGATACATTTCAGCGAGCTAAAGTTCTGCATGGACTCAAGAGAACCAATTTCTGAATAACTACGTTCATTAATATACTTGGGAAATCACTGAAATGTCCCTCAGTAATACTAAGATCTGCATTTTGTATCCTTCGTGTTTCTTCACGCCAACCAGCTATTTCCATCTCCCATTATTTTGGCATTTCACTATAGAAATGCTTTGAAGCCTCTTATTTCGAAATCAACAAATTTAATCTGGCTTAAAGGGTATTAAAAGATTCTTTCTTTATTCGAGTGGATGGCATTGTTCAAATACAAGATAATTTGTACTGTCTTGTGGAATATAATTGCACCTTGTCAACTTGGTTACGCTGTCTGATTTTGGCGTTAATGAAATGCTAACGCAAATATATCTATTTCCAATCCACATAGCTGGGCTTCGTTTCTGATAAATTGGGTTCCGAAGGCTAAGAGTCAAAAAAACAATAGACTTATAGCACTCTCAAATTATACTCGAACAAAGGCAGAGTGACGAACTGATCCCGTGAAAGGGGTTTCCCCTCATTACTATATATTAAAAGCAAATATAGCATTCACTTGCTAATATGGTGCTGATTAATACAGGTTCATAGACAGGCTTAATTTGTTCCCTAAATACCCCGCTAACTCTCTCACTTTGTAAGCATCCTGTTCTTGATTTTCTTGATCATCTGTGAAATACAAATGGTAATTCACATTGATTTCTGATGATCTGATTACGTGAAAGGGGTTTCCCCTCATTGGCATTAAAAGTAAATATAACAATCGCTTGCTAATCAAATAACACAAATTCTACAGACGATTCCCAGCCACAGACAATTGGCCCTCTATCAGTTTCTAGAAACCTGTCATTGGGGGAAGGGAATGTTTTGAGGAGAATCACATGGTTTTCATGGGGAAGATAGTGGGGGATCAGTCGTCTCTAACAGAGTTTATAGGGTTACTATAGCAAATTGACCTACGGGGGATCAGGTAAGTTTTATTTTGACACAACCAAAATCTCCCCCCCCCTCCCCCCGTGGAAAAATTATGACCTCTCCCATAGAAATCGCAAGAATGCTCGGTGAAATTTTAGTTGCTAACTTCCTTTATTATCTCTACACTCCCTCGACAGGATCTGATATCAAGGATGCAGAGAACCAGATCGTTGTTAAAAACGATGCAAGGGACGTACACATACCTTGCTCAATAAACACGGAAGGTCAGCCCCAGTCGGACCTTGGTTTGTATTTGTGCCCGACGATGGCACAATGCAGAAGTGATAGGGACAGATTCATAATCGCTCGGATAGAAAAAAGAACCGTCTTTAATTATTATCCTGAGGAGTACAAACTTATCTTAAATGGAACATTGATTGTACGGAAGATATCATCAAAGTGTGACGGAATGGTGGTCTGGTGCATTGGACAAATTCGGTACCAGGGAGCGCGAGAAAACACCACTCTTATTCAAATAGCGAGAGGTACGAGTTTGTTTAGGGGATGGGATTTGATCATAAACATAAAGTTCTTATCATGAAAAATTACTCTTCGAATACTAAATCCCTTTCTTCCTTTTTTTCATTCGCAATTGCACGTAGAAGACAAATAAGTAGAACGCAGGTTGATAAAAAAATCTTTTTTTTTTTTTTTCATATTGATTAAGGCTTCCAAAACTTTGTTTTATATTTGTCAGAGAGGCCCAAAATTAGGATAACAAGTCCACAACCATTCTTGGTGGTCGAAGGAATGAATCTGCACCTAGACTGCGAAGCAATTGGTTTTCCTTCTCCCCGGGTGATCTGGTTTCGAATTCCTGGCATGCAAATGCTTCAGAATCGAACGAAAGATGAAGCTACAAGTTTAGAGCGAAGAAACATCACCAAAGATGACGAAGGAGTCTACATTTGCACAGCTAAAAATCCACTAGGAAGTGATAGCTATGAGGTGCAAGTAACTGTCATCGGTGAGTTTTTTAAAATTCTGTAATTCTGAGACGAAGAGTCTTTTAGATAAAAGGTATATGTCATAATTGAAATGGCATTAGACAACTTTTTGATTCTAGCAAGCGAGTTGATTTTCCAACACTTTACTTCATTAAATTAATTTGGTTAAATAACTGGTTATCAAAAACCGAAAAGCCACCTCAAGAATTGACAAGACGAAAAAAACAGAAGAATAAACAAAAACTCAAAAGACTAAAATAAATCTTGTTTTTTTGTTTTACTCGTGATAAAAGTGATGTTTATTATTTGGACTCATGATAGAACATGTACAGCTCATCGCGTGTATTCAGCTCCCGTGAGTTTCTTGTTCCAATCTAATTTAGAAGATTATTATATACTGACATATGGTTAGTGTGCGGTGTTTTTATGATATGTTAGTACTGCAAAAAGGCCAAGCACAGTCATTGAATGCTGCGTTACAAATCAAGTTAACATCCTTCATTTGATCTCTCTCTTTATGTGCGTGTTCGTTTTCTTTATAGATTTCCCAAGTTCAACAGTGTCAACTCCAACAAGTACTACTCGCAGAATTATTATGGGTGCGTCTCAATTTCAAAATTTTGTTTATTTTCGTTGTTGTTGTTGTTTTTCAATTTCTTTCGATTTTGGTTCACTTTGTTTTGTTTCTTCTGGTTTCTGCTTTTGAGTTTGTATCTTTTTTTCTCGTTTTCTTGGTCGTAATTCGTTAAGCGCTCTTAAAGTCCTAATTTTGGTTTTCATTTTGGTTTTCCTGCTTCGTCCCAAAGACTTGAAAAAGAAATATGTAAACCAAGTTTATTCCCTCACTTCAGGCTATCGTAAAGACGTTTTGTGGTTAAGAAAACAATAAACTTCTTGAAAATTTGAAACCAAGTCAGTTTCCTTCCCTTTATCGCTCTAAAGATGAATCGATGTGAATTAATTGCATTTTTGTGTCACAGATAAACATGAAAGTCGAGAAGACGATGCTTACAAAGTGATCACTTTTGCGTTGTTACCACTCCTGGTACTTGCGACCGTAGGGAGTGTAGTCTTGTTCTGGCGTAGTGCAACTTGTGGACGCTCAAGCCGAGGAAATAATTCGCACGAAGTACCGATTCCTGTAAATGTTTAACAGGTTTCGACTTCCTGGCATGCAAATGCTTCAGAATCGAACGAACGATGAAGCTACAAGTTTAGAGCGAAGAAACATCACCAAAGATGACGAAGGAGTCTACATTTGCACAGCTAAAAATCCACTAGGAAGTGATAGCTATGAGGTGCAAGTAACTGTCATCGGTGATTTTTTCAAAAAGCTGAAGTGTAAAATGTATCGAAAACTGCACTTACAAGTTTTGCTTGTTGTGATAGCTAAAAATTTTCTTCATTCGTGCCCATAAACTTAAGACAGAGCCAAGAACATTAATTGTATACCTGTAAATATCCAAAACAAGCTCTAAAGTTTTGTAAAAATTCACCTTGTTGTAAGTAAGGGTTTATATTTATAACATCAGAGACTGGGAGAAGGAAAGGAAATTCCTATTTCTATAATATCTTCCCGAATTAGTCATTGTAACTTTGCCGTGCAGTGTCACGTTGTATTTAATTGAAATTGAAGAGGCTACCCGTTTTCCTCTTCTCATTTTTCAAGCTCCTAACTTCGCATCAAAATTTGTGATGGACAAATCAATGAACTCGAAATCATACCAAAGTATTTAAAATATTTTCTTGTAAGTTTTAATATATTTTGAACACATCAGAAGTTTTTTATCCTTATGATTACTACGAAGAAACACGTTGTGCGTTGCAGATTTCGGGCATTAGAAAAAAAAAAAAACTCGACAAACGAGTTACTTGCACAACGTTTTATCACAGTTCTTGCAGGCTTTGTATTCTTTAACGTTCTTTGCTTGTAAGTTTGTACTATTGAGAACCATGAATATTAAACGAATATTTTGAACTTTTGACAACTCCAAGTTCAGTTTTTAGTGGAAGTCAGTAAAATACTCTCGCACTTAGGATTTGACGCGCGTCAATCATCGATGGCCGCTCAGCTTGAATTGAAGTCTTTTCCCCTTCTATCTGAACCAAGACATACAATAAACATCTTACTAACCTCGTTTTTCTCGGTCCGTACTGTAAGTTACGGAACCTCGTTTCTTCCGCTCGATTTATGGCCCACGCGCTTTGCGCGTTATGTTACAAAAACATTAAGCACCTTCATTTGTTGGCAGTCTTAAGCGGAAACTATCAGGACAGCATGTTACATGCGTGTGTTTCGATTAGAACACATAGGAAGCGTGTGGTATCCGTGGGTTTGTTCACAGAGTTTACCTACACAGGTCTACAGACAGTCATAAAGGACAAAGGAGCCGATGGAAATCAGTAAAAGTGACACCTCATTCAAATATAGAAAGACCACGTGAGAGCTGTTTATTAAGCTTCTAATCAAGCTGTACTCTTCCATCGAAGGAAGGAAATTCAGAGATTATCAGAAAGCAATTCATTCAGATCTGTTCTTTGCAACCATGAATTTCAGTCTTTCCCCACACGTATATCGGATCTTTCATTTATACATGCGCCATTCCATTTATAAACAGTTCCTACTCCAGTCCCCAGTAAAATAAAAACACCCTGCCCGCTGGTCCTCAAGGTGACAGTGCTGTAGGCACTGAAAAAGCCAAATCTGGAGAGAGTTTGCTTCCACAATCTGATTGATCCACACAAAGCCGTTAAAAGTAATAACAAAAAATCTCATTGCTCTTAGCAACAATATTTGTATCAATGTCGATATCCAAGCAACAACTCACCTACCCCTCTCCTTGTCCAACATTAACCCTAACTTGGTATCAGTTGAATGTTGTTAGGCTGAGGGAGGGGTAGGTACAGAGCTACTCAGATACTGACATTGAACCCAACAGTCAACCTATATTTAGACCAAACCCAAATCGCGCTTGATTCTTGGTATGGTTTACCATACCACTCAACAAAAACGTGAATGGCAATGGAGGAAGTCTCTTTTCCATAACAGCCGCCACTGTCCAATTTGTATCCAGCATTCCGCGAAATGTAAAATTAGCTTTGGGTACATCAATTAGATACCCTGCGCTGACCGAACTATCGCGGGCCCTTGTGTTATACTCATACTCTACGCCAACCTTTACATTCTCATTGCCCTTGTGCCAGTAACTTAAATGCCATCCTGTTTGACCAACTGTCGCGGAGGCGATCCAATCATCTGCTGTGTATCGACCCGCGCAGGACATCATGGCCACTTCCTGGCCGGAGCCATAGTGGTAGAGAAGTTCTCCTCCTACATCAACACGCGGAGCCATCCGTTGAAGATAATGAGCCACAAGGATGCCAGAACTATTGAGTATATCTACATTACCAGCCGTCAGACTTGCGGTGAAGTCATCTCCACGGTATTCAGCATCACTTTGGACAAGAACCCAAACTGATTTTTGAGTCTGCACAAAAAAAAAAAGAAAAAGTCCCTTTGATTTAATTACTGTTCACCTGAGACTGTTTACACTCTGAGTGCCACTCCAACTGAAAAAATTGTTGCTGATCTCCGTTTTCTTATACATACATACACGTAGCAGATGAGAAGGTCAGTACACGAGGTTTTCTCTAGGGTTTTGTTGAAAGTCAATCTACCTCTGCCTAAACTGTGTAAGACCTCTAACCGCAGTCTATAATTTAGCCTACAGCAGGCTCCTCTGTTTAGGGTTCGCCTTACAGCCCCTTTCCCAGGCACAGTTGCTATTACATCATAGACAACCACTTATGGAAAAAGTCTTAACTATAGAAACACCAATAGCTGCCTTTTTTGCTGGCTACTTATTTCCCAAGCACTAGCTACTTTAATACAACAAAACAGTTAACGACTGTCTTGATCTGAAAAGTAGGGTCTTTTTTGAAACTTTGCCAATATTTCGTGAGGGTATTTGGAATTCTATTGCTACCTTGTAAGGTGTGGAGTTTAATGGCGACTGCAACTCTAAAGATTAGCTCGATTGTGTTATGGCTTTTTAATATCTATTAAAAAATTGAAAGAAAGTTCAAAATGATTACCTGTATCACCATTTTTCCTCTGAGTCTGTTGGTAAACTGATGGATCATTTGAGCATTAAGGCTACCGTTCGTGTCAATGTCTCCAAGCAACACAGGAAATGCCTAAAATTATGAACAGAACAGAAAAGTATGAGATATTTATTAACAGTCAAAACACAAGATGTGCAATGCTGAGGCCTGATAGCTGGTATACTGGACTGCATTTTGAAAGGTCCAGGTTTGAACCTGGTCAGGTCAATGTGTTTTGTTCTTGGGAAACACACTTGGATCAATATCAGTATCTGGGCAACTGCCCACCTACCCCTCCCCTAACCATACATTAACCCTAACTAACCCTAAGCATTTGCCCAGATACTGATATTGATCCAAACACTTCACTCACACAGTGTCTTTCTCCGCCCAGGAGTATAAATAAGTAGTGGCAAATTTTTAACCCTTTACACCCTAACATCAGTATCTATATTCTCCATACTCTTTTCCATAATGTTTCTTGTGGTACTGACAAGGAGAATTCATTTGAAGATCAAAGCTTCTTTGGTTGACGATCATTTCCTTTATTCTCATGATGATCTAGCAGTATTACTGTACAGATAAATTAGACACTGGTCACTCTCAGGGTTTAAAGGGTTGAGGAAGTTTTTTGAAATGCTTGGGGGGGGGGGGGCCCTTGCAACACACTGGCATCCTATCCAGGGAGAGAAGGAGGAGTAGTAAGACTCCTAGTTGCTTCATGCAATGAAAACTAATATTAACTCCAGCTGGATGGGTAACTTGTCTCAAGTATGGATTTAAACTCCTTAACCATAGAATTAAAAGTTAAGGGATGGTAGACTAGTCCAATAGCAGGTAGCCTCCCTCAGCATTTCATAGGGCTTCCCTGAAAGTTAACCAATACCATTTTATACACCTGGTTGGAGAGAGACACTATTACAGTAAAGTGACTCTCCTGGGAAAACCACCTTATGGCCAGGGATTTAATCCAGACCTTCCCCCATCAAGATCAGCATGCTCGATACAAAGCTACCTTAACTCCCAAGAAAGCACATACCCCATATCAATGTTACCCAACAAAGGAAATACAGAGGTTTCAGACCAAACTTATTGAAAAAAAAAAAAGTCAGAGAAATAAATCAACATCAGCAATATCATTTTTAAGAGCAGTTTTCAACTGAGTGTTGAAAAAAGCCAAAACTGAAGTCATCCCTCCAAACAGTCAAAACAATGGTTACCTTAAACATTAACCAATGAAAAATCTGTTTCACACTTTACACCCAAACATCAGTATTCATATTCTCCATACTGTTCTCTGTACATTGGCTAAGATGCTGACAAGGAGAATTTTTCTAACAATCAAAAGCTTCTTTAGTTGGTGATCATTTCCTTCATTCTCATGACATTAATGTGTGATTCAGTGGTGATATTGTAAGGAGAAATTAGATGCTAGTCACTCTTAGGAGTTAAAGGATTAAAGCATGGGAAAATACAAATGATCAGGTTGCAGTTGTTTTTAGTTTTGCATCTGATAAGTTGAGAGGATGATGCAAGTTTTCTGGACCAACCACAGAGCAAAGTAAAGTAAAAAAAAACAGTCCCAGATTATTTTCAACACTCAATTGAAAGTTTCTCTATTAGCCCTTCATCATCATCATCACCTCATTAGGCCCTGTCTGCTTATTTCCTACATAGGTGGCTCCAAAATGATATGCTCCTGGCCCCATACTACTGAGCTGAAGGGTGTGGCTGACTTGAAAGTGGTTGCTTAGGCCTTTATTGATAGCTAGTTTACAGCCCTCAAATGGCTGAGGGAAGACGTCTGAAAAATTCAAATTAGAAAGTACGTAAATTAGTACAATAAAAGATTTATCATTGACAATGTTGAGTTAAAAAACATGAACTGGGAAACTTAGAATACTGTAAATACTTTGAAAATTACAATGGATTTATCATTGACATTGTTGAGTTACAAAACAGAACCTGAGAAACTCAGAATACTGTGATCACATTGAAAATTATAATGAAAGTTCAGATATCACAAAAGCCAACACCACATTAGCACAGCAGTATTTTCAAAACAAAGTTACTCAAATGAGTCTGTAATTTCAAACTACGAAATGGAGGGACCAAAATAAAATAGCTCCTAACAAAATGAAGAAAACTAAAACTAAAGAACTAAAACTATAAGAAATGTACTGCATACAGGGAGGAGAAATTCGATCTAGATTTCGAGAGTAAAGGGTTATGCAAGAGGAAGATTTTCGTAGTGGAGGGTTAAGTTTGGTCACCAAGCTTTCTAAGAATTTTGTAGAGGGAGTGTCTCCCTCTAATTTCTTCTTTGATGAAAAATTACATCTAACCTTTCCATTTGCAAGATCTCATAAGAAATTCTCCTCACAATCTGCCATACAATTCTTATAATGTTAGTTTTGGAGACTTTAGTATTGGATCATCTAAAAATCCCTTAGGTGATATTTTTCTCTACCCTCACCACTTGTCTGCTTGATTTTGAATTAATATGGTTAGGAGAAATTATGTCTTTGTCATTCATGGGAGTTAAAGGGTTAATCTTTCATGTGGCAGATGATAGTGGGTGAGGCAGAGGATCCAGTATATTTGACCATTTAGCTTGATATCCGTAGTAATATTTTTCTTTAGGTACCACAGAATGTAATGTAAATCAGAGACCACTGAAACTGGCCAATCAAGTGGTGTTGTAAACATATTCGTGTGGTCAGTTTCAGTAAGAACTCTACTTACTCTTCCTGGTGGGGTAAGAACGGAAGGGGGTGGGGTGAGGACATTGTCGAAACTATGTAGGAATTTTTAATCCATGTACTTTTGTGTACCTGAAAATTCTTCATGCCCTTCAACATTAAATGTTTAGAGCGAGTAAAACAGCAATTTTTTCAAAATATCTCATTTGCGAAGTATGATCGATTTTAGTGAAACAGAATTCAGTAAAGATCGCTGTGATTGTAAATCCATTCTGACTACTAATTTCCACGTAGTAAAGAATATTAAGAGCAAACTTGCACAAACTCCCAGAAAAATTTACAGAAATCGCGGGAGACAAACGGCTGTAAAAACGAATAAGTAAGCTTTAAGATTGCCTAGTCTAGATTTACGATAAATTACATAATCAGACAATCCAAATGCGCCATGAAGCCGGTGAAATTTTACGAAGCCTGACGATCTTTACCCTACCTTTACACGACTTGTGTAGATCTTCATACGTTCCAGGGTTGCTATTGGATGGTTTTTCATCCGGCTGCGGCTTTGGTTCAACAGGGGGAGCTGCCGTAAGCGGTGGCGGCGGCGGCATCGATGCAACATTGCTGGGAGATGAGGGTTTTGACGGTGAAGCCGCGAGTACATTCCCCATCTTTGATCGTGTGAACCATGTGCAAATGCTGATGTAACGCTCTGATTGGCTCTTCGATATATTAGCGACCGCATTGGAACGGGAGAGACTAGGTCTAGTTTTAGTGAGCCTGCAGTATTGGCACTGCAGCTAGATCATCGCCGAGAAAACGTGTACTCGACCTTTCGAGATTATTGCAAGTGTTGTTGAAATTTTTAGAAAGTTTGGGGGTCGTACTTTAAATTTTACAGATGTTTGTTTGAAATTATGGAAGAAAAAACAAATGAACTGCTTTTTAAAGACATCGATGCAGATGATGAACCACAAACCAATGCAGTGGAAAGTTTGTGCATGAATTGCCATGAAAACGTGAGTCTAAAAATTTTTACTAAAATAAAATAGATAAAATAAAATAAAAATAGGGTTAATATATATTTTACTCACCAGTTAAAACTTAAAATGGTTTTCTTTCAAAAGCATTAAAATTTTATTTATCGCTGCATGATTAGTATACAATTGGTTTGTCTCCTTCACGTAGTTTTGATCAAATTTTGTACAGTACAGCTCTGTTTTAAGGTATACACTCTTTATTGATTAACAAGCTAGATCTTAGTAAAAATTCTGCCTTTAAAAATGCGAGATATATGGGATTTAACAAAGATCACTGCTAGGATCACTGCTAGGATTCGAAAACGTAACTGAAAAAGTGTTTCCTAATATTAGCTTGTGAAACGTGATGTTCTTGATTTGCAGCTATCTTGCTTGTAATCTAAGTTTCATTTTAGTTTTCTCATTAAGAATTGGAAGTACTGTCGCTTTATTGTGAAAAAAAGGGGGGAATCATCTCCAAATGATACATGCAGTCTTGGACTGAAATGATGTGTGAAAGTTTGGAGTTCAAACATCTGTGTTTAAAATGGAGTTGATAAACTCTTACAAGCCGACTGCAGTGACTAAATTTTAATATAATGGGGACAGGGTGGGGGGAAGGGGTGGGTGGAGAGGGAAAAGGGTGGTGAAAGATATGCCTAGTTTGAGATGATAGCAATTACATGTATGTATTCAACAGTTATTCCACTGCACATTGGATATGAGCTGGTAAATAAATAGCCAACAAGGCACTTCGCCCCAAGCTGGCCATAACCAATCCTGAACATTTGGATATATGGAGCCTTGTTTTCAGCTCTACAACAGTTAGCCTAATGCATTTCTACCTGAGGTTACTCAGAATATGAGCTGATAACTGGAATTGAGTGAACCAATCCACTCCCCTTTTCATCAGCATTTCTCCATCTCTTAATTACAATTGTCCTGATGCAAAATAATCTATCTTCATTAGGGAACAACTCGAATACTTCTCACAAGAATACCATTCTTTAGAGAAGTTGTTCTGATGTCATTTGAATGTCCTCACTGCAGTTATGCCAATAATGAAATCCAGTCTGCAGGAAGAATTCAAGATATGGGATGCAACATTAAGCTGTTGGTGTCCTCTCCAAAGGTGATCTGTCAAATTAACCCTTTAAACTCCCATGAGTGACCAAGACATAATTTCTCCTTACAATATCAATTCAATATCAACCAGATAAGTGATGAGAATATAGAAAAATATCAATTTTGGGATTACTAGTTGATCCAATACTAAATTCTCTGAACTAACATTATAAGAATTGTATGGTGGATAGTAAGGAGAATGACAAATTTGATCTGGGAGTTAAAGGGTTGTGAATAGATTAAGTTCTACATAGTCAATGTAGTCAGCTCCAAGGTCTCAACCAGCAGTGACAAGTGGATGATTGGGTGGGTGAAAAAGCAAAGTTATCCTCATTTTTTTTTTTTTTTTTTTACCTGACCTTTGGAATGTCTTTTAAACACATACCAAGGACCAGAGACCGAAAAATCAAACTTATGTTGTGAAAATGAAGACTTTGTGGATCAATATCAGTATCTGGGCAACTGCCCACCTTCCCCTCCTCTAACCCAACATTAACCTTAACTTGTTGTCAGTTGACTGTTGTTGAGTTAGGGGAGGGGTAGGTGGGCGGTTGCCCAGATACTGATATTGATCCGACTTTGTTTCTCTGATAGTTGAACAAAACAAGTCAGTGAGGGTCTTCCTTTTGTAGTTTGAGGAGGGCTTTCTACAAAATGAAGACCCTTTCAATTTTGTTTGTAGTTCTTAAATCTTCAGTCTTTCATTTCCAGTCCTCATCATAAGCAAACAGACCCTTGTTATTTTGTGCTTGCCCACCTCTTTGGTTGTCTCCACTGGCCATAAATTTGACCTTACCTGTACTTTCTTGAACCCACTTATTTTCTTGTAACCATTGACTAGGTACAGACTTAACCATTTACACCCTAACATCAGTATGCATATTCTCCATACTGTTCTCTATACATTTCCAAGGGTGATGACAAGGAGAATTTGTTGGAAAATCAAGAGCTTCTTTAGTTGGTGATCATTACTTTTATTCTCATGACCTTAATGTTTCATTCAGGGGTGATTTTCTAAGGAGAAATTAGATGTTAGTCTCTCTCAAGGGTTAACCCTTTAACTCCCAAAGCGACCAAGACAGAATTTCTCCTTACAATATCAATACAATATCAAGCAGACAAGTGATGGGAATAAAGGAAAGTGTTAAAAAGAGGATTATTAGTTGATCCAATACCAAATTCTCCAAACTAACACCACAAGAACCATATGGCAGACAGTGAGGAGAATTACTAATGAGATCTTGGGAGTTAAAGGGTTAAGCTTATAAACTATGTTAAATTTTTCACTAGTTGAAGAATTTGCAAATCAGTTTGATCTTCAGTTCGATTTTTTCTCAGATCTGTGACAATTCACAATTTACACCCTAACATCAGTCTACAAGTTCTCCGTACTGGTCTCTATACATTTTTGATGATACCTAGAAGGGGAATTTGTCTAATAACCAAAAGTTTGTTAAGTTTCTGATCATTTCCTTTATTCTTACAACCATAATATATGATCCAAGGGTGGTACTTTTGGGAGAAATTAGATGCTTATCATTCTCAGGGGTTAAAGGGTTAACCGTAATCTGAGACAAAGGAAAAACTGGTTTTGAGAATTTGGAACTGGTTCTAGAACCTCTTTAAACTTTTTCGTGGACACTCACTCTTTGCGGTTGTCAATTTTTTTCCACAACACAACCAAAGGCAGCACACACCTAAAATATATTTTAAAAGTTAATTGTACACCTAAAGAACATACTTTTAATGGAATAGCAGATGTAGCATTGCCCAAAATGTGGGTATTGTTAGTATTGCAGTAAAAGGTGATGATAAGTTATCAGTATTGTACATTAGATCTTGAGATAGTGAGTTGACTGAGTAGTAATGTGTTTATTTTTTAATTTCTGTTTCAACAGGATTTGAACAGACAGGTAGTCAAGTCAGATTCTGCATCATTTACCATTCCAGAGTTGGAGTTTGAGAGTCCTGCTTTTTCCCAGAAAGGAGGTAGCAATGATATCATCACCTTTGTTAATTTTTTTTTCCATAACTGTGTAATCAGTGACTTGCTGGAAATTGTTTAGGCAATATGTGTATTTAAGAGGTACAGAGTGAAGTAGAATCATTCTACCACCTGAGGGGGGCTGTTTTTTTTTTTCTCTCATGTGAGCTTTGATACAAGTTACATTTAATTTTTACATATTTTTTGTAGATGAGTTTTGCTGTGATTACTGATCTTATCAAAACATGTTAAATGCTTTTATTAGGTTGCTATCGACAGAAAGCAGTGTACAGACTTGCCCTTTTGTTTTGTAATCTCTAAGTCTGCTTGTAAACTGAATTTTCTTTTTTCACATAGAACTCACCACCATCGAAGGACTTTTAGGACGTGCCATCACTGCTTTGGAGCAAGATCAGCCAGTTAGAAGGGTAAATTATTGATAAAATCATTGATAATTCTATACATGTAATCGTGGGCTTTACCTGGACTAGTTTGATGCAAAGTAAACTGAGCTTAACATGATCCAAATCATGTGAATCAGAGTATGGCCAAGTAGTTAAGGCACTGTTGGTCCCATGTTCAAGTCCTCCATCCTGTTACTAGCTGGATTTGTTTTTGATTGCCCTGCAATGGACACCTTGGCAGCAGTCTCATCACAGCAAACTTGTCTGCCTCCTGTTAGTTGGGAATTTTCAAACTCTATGTTTATTCACCATGTTTATGTACAGTCTGTTTGTATTGGCCTTTAAAAGCCCCATTGGGGGAGTGGTCAATTAATATTATTATTATTATTATTATTGTTATTATTATAATTATTATTATTATTTTTGTTGTTATTATTATTACTACTATTATTATTTGAAGAAAAATCTTTATTCAATACTCATAAAAAAGACCTATGTACAGTGCTTCACTTAAAAAGAATTAAATTTGTACCTCGACATCTGTTAGAAAGAAAAGAAAAAATCAATGTCTCAATATCTCTTGAACTATAATCCACGAAAATGTTTCTCTAATATTATTATTGTTGTTATTGTTATTATTATTATTATTATTATTATTGTTGTTGTTATTATTATTACTACTATTATTATCGTTGTTATTGTTATTATTATTATTATTGTTATTATCATTATCATTTTCATTATCACTCATACAAAGATTGTTTGAAGCATGGTCTACCTACCAGTTGTTAAGTCGAAGCACAGAAAGCAAATCTATTGCTCTGCATCAAACAACACTCTGAAACATTGCCTTGTAGGTGTAGATCCAATTTTTTTTCCTAAACACAATAGCACCCCATCAACTTGAATTCTCAGGGGAAACCAAAAAAGAGGTTTGCTTTAGCAGGGGTTTGAGTTGGCTGATCTCTCGGAGAGATCGGCCCTTTTTCGAGCTACCAGGGTTTCGAGCTAACAGCGTTCGAATCAGCGGGGTTCTGTTGTTCAATACAGTAATTGTAAGTTGTTACAGTACGTCAAGTCACCGGTTGACTTTTGTATTTCCATTTGAATTGTCAACAGATCGTGGATCCTGACAATGCAGTGAAAATTGATGATTTTGTGGCACAGTTGACAAAATGCCGCGATGGTGACAGGAAGTTCACCCTTCACCTGGATGATTCATCTGGCAACAGTTTCATCGAAAATCCACATGCCCCTAAAGAAGACCCACAGATGACCATGGTGTATTATCGCAGAAACGCAGAACAGAACGCCCATCTAGGACTTCAGCCAGCCAGTCAAACCGAGGAGAAACAGGAAGAGGAAGAAGGTCAGATAACAAGGTTTTCATTGAGAAATATCAGTAGAAAAGTCACAGGAGATTGATATCCAACTGTACGTAGAAGTGCACAGATAACGCGCGAATCCCGTGCAAAAATCCTCTGTTTATTTGGACTGTTGGTTATTTTGTACTAGAAAAAAAAAGCGAGTGTTTTGTAAGACCTGTCACAAACCGCTTCTCCATTTGCTTAGCTTCTCCCGCCTCATAAGAAATGCATAGTAAAATTGAGTAGCCTTACCCCCATAAAAATAATTCCTAAGCATGTCATTGAAATAGGTAAGGTTCTCAGAGCAGGAAACATAAATAAATGCAAGAGCGTCGCGAGTGTGTCCCTTGAGAATTTCCCCCACCCTCCCACCCCTAAAATTGCTGATTATCAATTTGCGAGCAGGCCCTCGTTATCAGGGCTTTGGTAGCAGCGTTTTTTTGCCCCTGGGAAAGTATGAGCGATGCGAGCTGGCGAAAGGTCTGTAAGCAGTCTAACACTGATTATTAGTGTCAGACTTCCGACCAGCCTCTTCCTTTCTCGTCTCAAATCTTCTCGCGGGCGGAAAAAGGCGTGTCCTGACTGTTCAGCAACCGTGTATCGTAGAGTTAAATGTGCCCCACTTATCGCTCTCCTCCCCTCCAGAGCACGAGTCTTTAACTCATTTCAGATTTGTTGTTTTGACAATCTTAAATTAAAGCTTGAAAACTGAACATGATCATGTAACAGTTTCTCTCTTACAGCTTGATATCATTTGTTAGTATTCACCTTGATATCATTTGTTAGTATGCAAAGTTTGACTCTGTTCTTTTCCACGTTCCCACACACAGAGGAAGAGCAAACAAATGTAAATGACGAGGTAAGAATTGTTTCGGTTCCTTGTGCCCTGTTTTACAATGTAATACCGTGACATATTTTGCATGTTCTGTTGCCCCAGTATGGTTAAGTAGCCTAATAGGACGAACAATGACGTTCATTTCTACCGGAATAAGCACCAACGAAGGCCAGGTCCTTTAGCTTCCGGGGTTAACTTTCTCTCTCCTCTTTCGTTGCTTTTTTGCAGGTGTTAAATTTCCCAACAAATTGTCCTTCGTGTAATGCACCTACAGAAACCAGAATGAAGCTTGTTGGTATCCTCTTTTCTTACTGCCGTTTTATTTGTTTTCAGTTTAATGCTATTGTTAGTACTTTCAAATCAAGGTAGTTCGTTTACATACCTCAACTGCTCGATTAATGTGTGACTGTGTGTGTGTCATTCTGTCCCCTCGTTTGTCTCTCCGTTCGTTGGTCTCTCCACGGGTATCCCTCTGCGTCCGTACGCCCCTGTGTTTTTTTGTCTGTCCGTCCGTACGTACGTGCGCTGGTACTTACGTCTGTCTCTTTGTCATTTTGTCTTTGATTTTTCCGTTGTACCTATGTAATATATACGTACAGTCATCAACGTTCACCGTTCATAAAATTTTATTCACTGTCCATCACTTATAAAACCGGATTCACCTTAACTAGTATATCAGCTATACCGCATTTTAAAGAAGTGGTGATTATGGCGACCAATTGCGATGCTTGCGGGCATAGGTCAAATGAAGTCAAGTCTGGCGGTAAGTAACTGGTTCTTGGTTCGTTTCTGTTGTTGCAATTGCGTTTTTTTATATGCTTTTCGGTTTGTGGTTCGCCTGACCCGTCTAGTCTTCTGTTACGCTTAATGCGCGCCTGCGGGGCTCGGATACTAGCACTGCCACGACGAAGAAGACAATAACATCTACTCCGCCCACACGTACACCTCTCGTGTGCCTCCCCCATTCATAGTCAAAAGTGGGGAAAGGACTGGGGACGAGCAGCGAGGCGTGCTCTCTGAACTAGCGTTGTTGACAGCGTAATATGAATTGGTCCTCAGTTCCCAGTCAATTTAACTTTCTGATCAATATTTGTTTTAGCTGGTATGGAACCTCATGGAACAAGACTCACTCTCAGGATAACAGATCCTTTGGATCTCAACAGAGATGTGCTGAAGGTACAGCTTCAACTTTTGTTGCAATATTGGATCCTAAAATCTTATTCTGAAATCGTAAGAACGGGGAGCTGAGGTTTTAAGTTTTTCGTGGCGATTTTCAGGGAAGAATATGACAAATTTTCCGGAATGCTCTCGAGAACTGGTTTATAGCTTATGTTAGACTTTTCCTTAGCAATGTTGATAGAACAATATTACAATTTTATTTTCCTCGGGAATCCTCTTGGTTAAAGTCTTCCATGCTAGTTTTTTCTATAGAGATTTGGTGGAGGAGAAACTTGTCCGGAGTGCAATTTGCTTGTGCTGGTGATATGACAGATAAAGATTGTTGAAGAAAATTTTTAAGGACGGAAGGGAAAAGTGGCAAAAATTTTTCATAGAAGAATCCGCTCGCTTAACGCTTTAGCCCCTAAGAATGACTGGCATCTGATTTCTCCTTACCACATAAACCCTGAATCAAACATTTAGGTCAGGAGAATAAAGGAACTGATCACCAACTCAAGAAGCTCTTGATTGTTAAACACATTCTCCTTGTCAGCTCCTTAGGAAATGTATAAAAAACAGTATGGAGAATACGCATATTGATGTCAGGATGTAAAGATTTGAAAACTCGCTTCGAGTGATACTTTTTTGTTCTTACCTTATTTTGATGCCAATCAAATAATGATGCAGTCTATCACAGAACAGACGCACGACAACATGGAATGTTTTTATTAAGTATATTAAAGACAGATTATTTTGGAAAAGTCGTCTTTTGTCTGCCGAAAGATGGCTGTTTCAACGGATTCCACCGTGATCTTACGTCTATCTTTATTGCAGTCAGAAACGTGTGAAGTATACATGCCATCATTGGATTTCCACATCGCAGCCGGCACACTGGGTGGACGATTCACGACATTAGAGGGCCTTTTGTGTAATATAAAGGATCAGGTACGTGATACTCATCTTACATAAAATATATTTTATATCGCGCGTGAGATCGGGGTACGGGTGAACACAATTGGACCAAATGCTGAAGTATTGTGAGAGTAAATTAATTAATCAGCGGTTAAGCCGGTCTCCACGCATCGTTTTCTACCAGTCAGAACTGATCGTTCCATTTGTTTTCCTCTTGTAACAGCTAAAGTCGCTGAATCCTTTTGGCTTTGGAGACAGCCCGGCTGAATTCAGTGCGAAGATGAAAACATTTATCACCAACTTGGACAGGGTAAAAACTGTTATTCCCCACCCCCTGCTCTCCTATCTCCTCTTCCTTTTCCCTTCTTGTTGTTATCTCATCCCTTAACTCTTCAACTCCCAAGATCTGATCATTAATTCTCCCCTCTAGCTGCTATACATTTCCTTGTAAATTTGTTACGAGAATTTAGTGTTAGATCAAGATAGCAACTTCCACTTGATAAGTTTGAATATTCTCATTACCTGTTTGCTGGATTAGGTATGGATATTAGAAGGAGAAGTTACGTGTTAATCACTTCCGGGAGCTGAAGGGCTAAGTTACCCACCTTCCCCGTTTTACTGATTTTGTTTTCTTACTGGTTCCTCTCTCTTTTCGTTCTTTTCCCTCTCCTTTCTAGTCTCCAGTCCTCTTCTCTCCTTCCTCCCCTTTTGCTTTTGCCTTTACTAACGTCACCATCTTCTCGTTCGGTTCCTCTTTCCTGCCCAAGTCTTTTATGGAGACTTCATCAATGCGTGCGTGCATCAACTCTTTCCTGACTCTTTCTTTGTGTCTATTTTAAGCCCGCTCTACTCAATTTATTGCGCAGGTAATTAATGGCGAGGAAATGAATGTTCTGATCACACTGGATGACCCGGCTGGAAACAGCTATATTCAGGTAATTTTTCTTAAGCCCATGGAGTAAGTAATATATTGTCCATTTTTGAAAATTTAGCCTCAGCCAGCATATTTAAGCGCGTAGAGGCAAGCACAAGGCTAACTCGAAAGGCGAGTTACACGCGCGCGAGAGGGCTTTTCTTTTCGCGCTCGTACCCATTAGCGTGACCCGCCCTTTTCTTCGCTTCATGCAAGTGGAAACAGTGCAAGGCGAACTCGATAGGCGAGTGATAAGCCATGGAAGAAGCTTTTTTTTCACTTTGCGCTACTACCTTCGCCCTTAACACACACTTTCTAAAAAGTGAAGTAAGCGCGAGGCGAACTTGCAAGGCGAGTCATGCGCGAGATGAGCGTGAGTGTGAGTTACGCGCAAGGGAACGAGTCTTTTTCTTCCCACGTCTTCCTTCGCGCCCGAATCGCACTGGCCTGTGCCTCAAGTAAGGGGAAGCAACTATGAGGTGAAGTCGAAAGGCAAGTTACTCACGTGCAGAGGTGCTTTTTGCTCTACGGGATATGTTTAGACTCGTATCTTTGTCAGTTTTCAACATCTAGCCCTAGAACGTGGCAGTATTATAACTTTTGCGGAGCTATTTCCATAAGTTAATACGTATTCCCGCTGACTGGTCTCAATCAAATTGTGGGGAAAAAAGTCGTGGAAAACAGAAGTCTTTTGATTTTATCGTCATGACTCAAGACAGAACCCTTTCCTCTTTACAGAATTTGTATGCTCCAGATCCAGACCCTCAACTGGAAATCGTTCATTACCCAAGAACAAAGGAACAAGAAGACGATCTTGGAATATCAGACATGAAAACAGAAGGATACGAGGAAGACAGTCAAAGCTGATATTGAAGTTCTTACATTCCAGTTTTTCGAAGATGAAAATTTCTCTATCACAGTATGACTTCTATTACAGGAGTTCTGTACTCAAAACTGACCAATCAGTTTACAGGAAACAAGAGATGAATGGGCTCTGCCATCTTTGTCATCAATGCTTATTTCGGTCCTAAGCACCAACTGGCAGGGGTTGGCATGGAAGCTTCTTCCCATTGCGAGTTCGCCCCTATGACGATAAGTTGGCCTCGTCAAAAATAAGAAGTTCGTCCCCGCTACCATTCCCCGAGGTTGGGGTGAGCTCGTTAAGGGCGAATCTGCAGTGAGACGAAACCTCCAGATACCACCGGAAAAACTGAATTTAAGGCGCTTTTCGATTGAGTGTCGTAAAATCAGAACCAAATCATTTAATTAAAACGGCCAATCAGAGAAAGGAAAATACCTCTAAGAGCCAATGACAGCTCAAAGTAAAAATAAGCAAACTGCCTAAAGCGCGGGAAAACGCGGGCGACCAAGTCGTGATTAATTTTAGTTTTGCGCCCGATTGGTTGAGAGAGTGGTGCGAGTTTTCTAACCAATCACAGAACGAAGTAAAACAAAAACAAAGCAATCCCAGATTTCTTGCGGTACTCAATTGAAAATTGCTCTAGTCAGATTTATGATGTAAATGGTCAGTCTTGTTTTCGTGACCGCAGTTAAAGTCGAGGCTCTGGAACTCTAAAGATTTTTGTGCCGAGCTTGTTTTAGATTCTTCCTTAATCACTCTGGTCTTATAATATCGCCTGCTTCTAGAACAGAAAGAATGTAGTGAAGAGCGATGTTGACAACTGAACAATAGCTACAACAGTTAAAGGAGTAAAGGGGACACGTTTCTAAAGAAACTGTGGTGCTGCGTCTGTGGGGGATATCATACGTAATCTGGTTTTATCAACTGAGTTGTTAATGTGAATCGATCACTATAAACAATGTCTAAATCTGACGCTCTGAGTGTTCGCCCCTTTCGTAATTCGCTCTGACGAAGGGTTTGTGCTCGAACCTTCAGCTTTAGGAAAACTTCATGGTGGCCAGTTGAAGGAGCAGTCGTGGTGTGCGCGATGAAACAATTTCTTTTATCGTATAAAGTCAGATATTGTAAGAAAATTTTCGTGTTACGTGTGGTGTCATTTCCAGATCCCATATAACGCTAAGGAAATCCAGATTAAACATAAAATTATTTGAAAAATGATGCTCGCAATATTCACTCTAACTTACATGGTAGAACTACATGGTAGAACTTACATGGTAGTTTCTCTCTGCCCCAAAGATCACATCTGAGAATAGCTTTCCGCCCACGCTGTCAAAAAGGTCACTATTGGTGCTAGCTGATTAGCTTCCGAACAGACCCTCATTAACTTGCAGGAAGCGCTCTGCCTGCGGGAAGGAGACAAGTCAGGAGGAGATTTGCCTGGGGTCTGGCACGAGCCAGAACCAAACCTCTCGCCGGCTTGCGTTGGTGAAGACTTCGTAATTACCAGCCAGCGGAGAGATACTTCTGCGGAAGCGCTGATGATGAAGCTATTAACTGATCGTCTCGTCCAGAAAATGCCCCAATGTTGGCAGATACGAATAAAATTACACTCATCATTTGCTGTTACACTTTTCAGCTTACCAAGCTAAAATATCGGGAGCCCTTAGCTGTGTATTCTTCACTTCTCCAGGAGACCGTGATTAATTTTCGATTCTTTTTTAGTGTTGTAAATATGCCAATGTTTGAAATTTACTATAATAATTTTTTTCCTCAGTGCAAAACATAGAGAGTTTTCCGTTCAAACGTGAAACTCGGCTCTTCGGTGAGAGTAAAAGAGACCTAAAGGAATACCCTAAAATTATTAAATCTTTTCTCCTCTCTACCAAAAAGACAACACACCATCCGTCAAATAATCGTTCACAAGATTTTTATCGGCTTTACTCGTTGCTGTGTTGAGTAGGGTCCAGGCTTTTCTAAGACAACGCTTACTCTGTGCAATAGGGGAGGGCTTCTCCCGTAATACTCTCAGATTGAAGAAAATTTCAACCTACGTTTATACACCTCCTTATTTTGGTAGTGCCCCTACCACCCCTCCCTCCAATTGAACTGTAGTCCATAGCAACGAGTAATGCATCGTGGGTAGTTTTGTCGTGCCTGAAAACTGGATTTTCTTGTGAATGTTTTTAGCTGTTTAGTTAATTTTCTAAACCGCACACAATGATGTAATTTGTTTTTCGATGTATGCTGAATGGAAAGCCTCGAAGAAAGACAAAGCAACAACGGCGCTGAAGACAAAATAACGACCTTTGCGTCGCCTACTGTTTTGGCCGCCATATTGGATGAAGAACCGTCGGATGATGATGTTATTCGTAGCATGGTTGCGTCCAATGGTCAGGAGGAAGAGACGGAAAGGGTCACTGATAGCTTGGAGTCTTCATTAAACGATTCTCTCGAGTTCTCAAAGCCTGTAGAATCAAACGAACCCAAACGAGTTGAATCCACCAAGATGAAAATCGAGCCTTCGCAGGTAGAGACTTCGGAAGACATTTCGGATACTCCCAAGAGTTCTACTCCGCTACTAAATGACAACATGAAACACAGCAAAAAAGTCGGAAAACCTAAACCGCGAAAGCCACAGCACATTATAGAAAGAAACAAAGAGAGGGTTGGGAAGAAGGTTCCCGAGAGGACTGGCTATGCTCAAGTTCACGGAATGAGGACGATAAAAAAGGTCGAAAAAATCAAAGAAAAAACTAGAAACCAAACCGAAGAAGCTGCTGCGAATGTACCTGGCTCAGGCTTAGAGAGTCAGTCACAGCATTCTCACAAAATCAGTGATGATTTTAATAGCCAAAAATCTGTAAGTCCAGTTCACTATGATAATGATCAAAACTTACTAGGAGACAGCTCTCTAGAGAAGTCACTTGACACATATCACAGTCATTCACATGGTCCTTACTACGATGTCAGCCAAGACTTTGGCTCATACTATAATCCTTTAGAATCAAATTATTCAGATCTAGTTGGTTATAGCAGAGGATACCAAAGTGCTGCAGCAAACTCAAGACAGAGGCATTCAATGGCTGGGTCTTTTCAACCAACACATTATAACTCTCTCTCCACCCAGTCTGCACCCCCAGGTGTTTACGGTTACCAGCGTACACCTCTCATCTCCAGTGTACATAATTTGCACGAAGAAGATTATAATTCATCATCAGCCTTATCTGACACTGATTTTCAAAATTTACAAAAAGCAAACAAATTCCCAGAATCCAGTTTACACAGGAAATTTTCCTCAGAACCGTACTTAGCAAATCCAAGTTCTTTATCATTACATGGGATGGCAGATGCTGACAGAAGCAGTAAAGCATCAGGAAGTTATTCCAGCTTAAGACAACCATTGTTTCAGTACAAACCATACAGCTTAAAGGACTACAGAAATTTTGTTGGCTCTGAGGTTGAGCGGCCTGCTGGTGGCTTAGGACCAAACAATGACACTGATGACTTTAAAGAGAAGGTAAAATTGATTGTTTTTTTTTTTTTAATTGAAGCATTCAGGGTCATCAATACAGGCTGACAAACAGTGCATTCTGTTGTCTATTCTGAAAGCGTGTGGGTCAATTTTCAGCAAGAGAGCATGACATTATGCAGCCTATTTTTTTTTTTTTATCACAGTCAGCTAACTCAAAACCTTTTTAACAATCTTGCACAGTTAAAAATTACCAGTCCATTTGCTGGAGTCAATGGTTTGAGCTTTTATGGTCTGCAAGTTGCTTTTGGCAAGAGGTATATTTGCTGGTTCATGTACAAACCCAGGCAGGGTTTGCATCATTTATTTGGGGATTATGACCACATGTAAAACATGCATTATGGGTACACTCTAATCTAATTAGCAAATAGATTCCATGTTGCCCTGGATCTGTTCAGCAACATATGTACAGCTGTAGATCACAAATGATGTCAAAATGCAGTAAGAACAAAATAGTGGCACACAAGGCCCGTCATAGTGCATGACTGATGTTCTCACCACATTTTGAGGTCACAGTCACACTGTACACACTGGGAGATGCAGCAGACTTATGGTTGGTACACTGGACTCTTCATCAAAAATTCAGGTTCAGGACTTGGTCAGGGTTAACCCATTACACCCTGACATCAGTGTAGATTTTCTCCATAATGTTCTCAATAAATTTCCTATGGTACTGACAAGGAGAATTTGTTTAACAATCAAGAGCTTCTTTAGTTGGTGATCATTTCCTTTATTCTCATAACCTCAAAGTTTGTTTTAGGGGTGATACTGATATGAGAAATTAGTTGCTAATCACTCTCAGGGGTTAAAGGGTTTGAATGCATTTTGTTCGTGGGCTTGTCATTCTACTCTCACAATGCCTCTTGTCACCCAGGAATATAAATGGGTATTGGCAAATTATCAGGGAAGCTTCATGAAATGCTGAAAGCTCCCTCAAAATGGACTGGCATCCTGTCAGGGATCCTATCATACTGCTAGTGACTTCATACTAGGCAAACTGGGATAATCTCTGGTTGCATGGGCCTCTTGACTTGAGTACAGACTTAACGTACCTTTAACAGGGTATGAAATAATGTACATTGCAAAAATTGCCACAACTGTCCTTAAAATTTTTAGATGAGAAAAGTCAGCAAGCAAAGAGAGTATGCAGCAATGTTGAGGGCCCAGCACTCAACCATGAAGAAACAGCAGGAGAAAAAAGGATCAATTCAACAGCCAGTTAAACCTAAACATATCAAGGAGGCGGAGGCAAAACGGCAAGCTGTAAGTAGTACATTTCCATTGATGGGGTACTTGAGGTCAAGAGTAATCTTAACACATAATACTCATGCAAGAATTGAATTAGCCATAGAACAGGCATTCACTTGTGAGGCAGCCCCAATGACAAAACCCTCAAAATTCAAGGCAGCAATCATGTAAGAGGCCTGGTCATACCAGATCTCTTGGAAACCTCACTTATTGGTTAGAAAAGCCCTCTGACCCTGCTCAATGGCTAGAATTGCACTCTCTTTGAAACTGCTCACTTTGTCTTTCAGGCTTTGAACTATGCCAAGAATGTCCCTAAACCAAAACAGATGGTAAGCAGGAGGAGAGGTAGTCCAGGAATGAGTGACACTCAAGCTGATGATGACCAGGAAATTACAATACTCGAAATATTGAGACTGAGACATGAAAAAGAGAAAAAAGAAGTTGACACAATAAGGAAAGATCTTGCTTCTAAAATACGACTCTAATGCATACACCACCTGTAAATGTTTGTAGGTTGATGCAGTTTGTGTATTGGGTGAAAAACATTCTTAGGCATCATTAGAAAGAGAGATTTTTTAGGAAGAGGGATATGTAGATAGATTAGAAACTGCTGTGCTAAAGAAACAGTGGAAGCTATACCAGTGCAGGCCATTTGACTATACCACAAAATAAACAAAAAATGTTTCTGGTAGTATCCATATAAGGTAACTGTGATGCATCTTTCAATGTGGCATTGTACCTAGAAATTTAAGCCTTGTTGATGAGTGCTGAAAGACAGTGTCTAGTTTAAAAAAAAATACATAATTATATTATGGAAAGCATTCAGTGTAACAATCATATTTGTGTGGTGTGAGGTTCTGAACAGTCTTGTTTGAACTTAAACAAGCATAAATTCATAAATTGTGAGTCAAACAAATATAACAAACATTTTGAGGGCCCTTTGACAGACATAACTTGCCGAGGTAGTCTCAAATATTGTTCAAAAGCACAAAGAGAAAGACAGGAAGATTGAAAAAGATACAAGTAATTATCCATTCAGTTAATTGACATTTTTTTTTATTACTGGTAATAACATATTTCAGTTGTGCTCTATCCAATATAAACAGAACCCAGATTAAAAATTTACAAATGTGACAAACCAGTCAATGCTCTGAAAACCAAGTAATTTATTTTGTTATTAATTTTATTTATTTTATTGAATCTATTGCAAAGTTTCTGTACATATTGGATCATACATGCATGTAACATGCATCTTTTAAAGAGTGCCATGTATTAAAGTTCATGTATTAAAGTTTCCCTATGTTTTAAAAAAAGCCTATTAAAAGATTGTAACTGTAAATACATAATTATGTTTGCAAACAAGAGAATCTTTATTACAAACTGAAGACTTGAGTCATCTTTGCTGGTACTATTAT